AAGCCAGAAGCAATATATAATTTAATATGTATACAGATTTCATCAACATTGATTCTAGTCGATACAATTAGGAACCTCCATTTTGACTTGTTTTTCTTAAGATTTTCTCTAATGAAATTTCAATTACTAAAATTTCATATAGTTAAAGAGAAATTTAAATGCGTTATTTTAAATGTTTATTAAGTAAAATCTTCAATAAGAAAAAAATACGCAGCTAAGCGAATGTAAAATTTCGAATTCTTAGAGAAAAGGATAGCTTGATCTAAATTCATTAATTTGTTTGTTTACTTAATAAGCTTCAAACAGAGTGTACAAAATTGTGCCCACCATACACTCATACATACTTCACATAAACCCCATACACACATTAACACACTAACATCCATACATACAGAAAAAACCCTTCAAATTTCTTACATTTCTATACGTTTCGATGTGTCCTAAGTCCAAAAATGTAAAGATCTTGTGAGGTCACTTTTTCACCGATCGCCATACCTTTCCTGTGTTATATATAACAACCGGAAAAGTAATAATTTATGTGTTAAGACAACAAAACTGGTTTTATTTGCGATCTGCCAAAAAAAAGTTTTTTCCGGGAAAATTTTGTATTTGAAATTGGCCCCTATTTAGGTATTACACGAAGAAAACCCTGAAAACACCACGTGGTCACTTCTATCTTTTTATAAGAAATAACTGGCTTTGTATTGCTTAGAGTCAGGAGATCCCGATTAACTATATACAAATTTTATTATTTCGATTTTATTCTGTTGCCTGATTCGTTAATAAATTAGAAAAAAATATATTTAAAAAATTCTTCTGATATGTGATTTTTAATATAAACGATTTGCTGTATAATAACATTTTTATGTTTTGTATTTTTAAAGATAAGAAGAGAGAAAACGAGGAAAAAGTTGAACAGGAGAAATGTTATCCATGTGGCTGAATAAGGAATTCGTTTCCGTTTACTTGACTTATTTAAATATGAAAATATGTATTCGAAAATTATACCGAAGTTTATTTTTAAAATTTATATTATCTGTAAAAATGTATTATAATTTATTAAATATTGTTTACAGTTTAACTTCTTTAAGTCGAACTGTGTTAAATCGAAGCTGTCTATATGTCCAAGGCACAGTAAAATAGAAGAAATCGTTGACACTTTTAACTCAAACCCATCTTTATGTTTACCTTTTACCTTTTGATAAGTTCGAGACCTTTCTTTTCTCTTATATTCCATGTAAATACAGACGAATAAGATGAACACTACGGCTCTATGTCTGAGACAATCTTTTATATATACGATATGTTAACAGCGTTCTGATGGGGACACATGGGAGCATCTTGTCAACGCACTCTATTTCTATGCAATTCTATTGTTATTCTGTGAACAGATTCTCTTTGAAAAAATCTGGTATTTAACTGAAAGTCTAGATTTTTTTTTTATTCTATACACCTCGATTTTACGACGTTTTACTGTATGTAATTCTACATTAAGTATTTACTTTAAAAAATGTGTAAATGTGACATATGATTAGTTACTAGCCTTTAAATTTCATAAATGACACACAGACTTTTATTTATTTATTTATTTATTTAGAGACATTGTAGTTCATTTTAAAGCATTCGATTTTTTTTTCTGGAAGTAAATAATTATTTTTCGTTATTCGGTATGAAGTTTTATATTAATTAATCAGCCATGACCTCTAATGCGAAATTCATAGTATCACCTGGAACGGAAGCAACCATGCAACATACTATTCTGGTAGTAGCATTTTATGGTATACATAAGGAAAAGTTCACAGCTTCATAAGATGAAAATACGTCTGTTTGCTTTTTAAGATAAAAATGCACAAGAAATGGTGGAAGAAAATTTTGACAATTTGCTACTATTGATACAAATAGAGAGATAAGAAAGCGAAGTGTTGATGTAGAGAGAAACAATACCATAACGAATTGACTGTCTAAACAGTTGTTTATATGGTTGATGATGAAGAAATTGCCCTGAATCTCAAATGTAGTAGAAATGAGTCTAGTCAGAGAAGTTAAATTTCAATTGCATGGCCATCTTGAGGGTCTTGAGGCTCTGAAAGGCCATAGCAAACACACAGTTACACTGAAATAGATTCAAGATGTATTGCATTTTTGTGTTCAACGTAAAAACTAAAATCTGATTGATGTGTATAGTTTATTTCATTGAAATTGATATTTCTATTAAACTTGCCAGTGCTTTTGTCCCTTTATCACGTCTCTCGATTATTTTATATACAGATCCCGTTTCTGTCGGAAAATCAATTGTTTATACTATATAAATACAGTAGACTGTTGCTAATTCGGCCCTTAAAAATCTTTAATCTGAATTATCCGGTATACATCATTAAAATATTTTTGTCTTATTCATGATTATTATTATTTTTTAAAAGTATAGAGTAAACGTGTAATATTAACTTTAATAAAGAATTAAGCTTGCAATTACTGATATTCCTGTGCATAATTTCTCAATAGCAAAATACATCATTAAAAATAACCAGTAAGGAAGGACGAAAGGGCATGTCGTTCATTTCACTTAGTACTTTGCATTTAGTAATCTAGCACTCTCACTAATCCGGCACGCCTCTGTGCAACGAATGGCCGGATTAGCAAGAAATACTAAACAGTACTAAAAGGTCTCTTAAAACAGGAATCTGCTGATTGAAAATCGAACCAGGATCCTCATATTGGAAGTCCGAAGTTATTATGTGCTTCTCTCCATACAGTTATTAGTATTGATGACTTTTTCACAAGACATTGAAATTCTTGTGTAAGAAGGAATGGGCATGCTTCTTGCACATGGCTGAACTTGCTGTGGCTTTAAGCTATAATACATATAATATTCTTTCCTGCATTAAATAATAATGTAGAAATGTGCGATTATAATTTGTAATCTCATTACGCGATCCTGAAGTTGTAATTATTGAAATTTATGTAAATCCGGCTCTTCCCCTGTCCATGTCTTTGTATGCCACTCATTACCATTGAGTTATTTTGTACATTTTAATTACTTAACCGCAATACATAGACAATGTTTTCATAATACATTATAAGGAATATTGAGATATATAATGTATACTATTCATATACCCTTACATTTCTTATTTTTGTCAGTCCATTCTTCTCTTTCATAGAGTTCCACTCCTTTCACTAACTGTAGAGTTGTTGTTTGTTGGAAGAGGCATTGACAAACAAAAATCTAAATAAATTAAAGTTATTAAACAATCGACACTTTAATTCCATTCCTCATAAATTTCGTGAAATATGATGCTTAAATACATCTGTTTTAATGGGAAAATTAAATAATGTCGATTATCAAGCTGCCTTTTGTAAAACGAATCTATTGTAATTGTAGTAGAAAGGTTTGTGTATTAGAAGCATTGATGCTGTTAAATTTCGGAGGTTAAAGGTCGAGATGGAGATAGAAGGACTCGTGTCATATTCGGTCCTATTGAAGATTTTACTTGTTATTAGCACTTATCAACACTATCAAAATTAAATTCTATGTCATTTTATAATAATCAATAATTTAAAAATGTTTTTAAAAATAAAATCTTATAACAGATGGCGGTACACAAATTTTAACTCTTTTGCCTGGAAAGTTACTCAACTCTCAGGTTTTACTTTATATAATTATAGAGTGATGTTGAAGTGTTTATTTTAGGAATATATAAATGAAACCATTGAATAAATTAACAAAAATAAAAATTTTAAGGCTGTATAATAATTTTTGCATCAGAGCCCTTGACACCCTTATTCAGTTATTGATTATATTCACAATATTTCGGCAATTTCGCCCTTGAATAATGTTTATGAGATGATATTTATCTATAAACAATATTCTTTAAATGCCTTCTTATAAAAATGAATTGTAATTGCAGTAAATATTATGCATTAAATCGAGGTTTTACTTCTTAAATATATCGTTTTCCTATACGCGACATTCTCCACCAATATTTAACACACAAATGATACGGTAATCGACATATCACGTGCTAGAAAATTTACAAAAAATACCATGAAATTGATGCGATAAATATAAAACAAAAGAAAATATAAATGAAAGACAATTATAATAAAGAAATTATAAAAAATATATATACCGTTAGTAAGATACGATGGAGAGTAAACTTTTACCACACTTCGTGAATTGTATAGGATAAGTTATCTTGCACTGTGACCTGAAAATAGAGTAAAAACGATCATCCTTTCCTTTCAGTTTCCGATCATCTACATCACAATGAGCTGAAAAGCTCATTGTGATGTAGATGATTGGAAACTGAGAGGTAGGAATTGACCTATTCGTTACTCCTTTTTACCAGCAGATTCGCGGGTCAATCGCAGTATTTTTCAACTCTCCATCACAACCAGAATTCCGCCTCAACCCCAATTAAAGTATCAAAGACGTAACACATCCAAGTTCAAAGCTCCTTACCATGTAACGACACACTCCCCATTATAGGTTTCATCTACCTTCACTAATTCATTAAATTAATGGTCAAGCTTTTGAATTACCATTGTTTCTGAAACATTTCATAAAACCTTATGCATATTCAATGTATTTTTATAATCTCCTAAAAAGTTTGAAAGAATAACATACTTTATACAAGATATTTTAAATTAAACACCATCTTATTAACCCCTTTCATTATCTTTCTGTCTGGGAGTGTTACTTACATTATTATATATTAAAATTGTATCAAAATATTCGAGTTTCATAAGCGAATATATATATATATATATATATAGCAAATCAAAATCAATTTATACCTGATTTTTCGTCTTTTTTCCTAAAATTTTACACCTAAAAACTTTCGTTTAGGAGCCAAAAGTTCGTTTATTTATCTTAAATATTCTCCATTAAAAAACATTGATCTAATTAACATTTTAAACGTTAATAACTGTGAATAACAATCGATACTAAATTAAACTTTAAACCTCATATGTTATATAAACTTCTAGATAAGGTTTCCACGTACAATCTTTCGAAAATGGCCATTGGCATGAGAAATTAGCCACGTATTTTAAGTCCATACACTTATAATAAAGCGTAGGTGAAGAGCTATAAGGTAAGAAATGATGCTTTTTTATCTTTTCTTAAATACAGTATTATAAATTTATTAACACGTAAGTAGTATAAATTATATTTTAAATCGAAATAATAATTATTTATATTATATTTTAAGATAAACATTTAAACGACTGTTTAAAAGTTAACAGATATCAAGTAGATATCTCTCTTCGTTTCTGGCATCGTCATTAAACAACATTCGGAAATACCAAGAGTATTTTAGTAGGTTTCTTATAAAATCTTTTTCATTTATTATATATGTATTTTGGAGGTTTAAAGAGATTTAATTTTAAAATATTTACAATTTCTTTATATAAAATTATAAATATAAGTTATAATTATAATTGTGCAAAGTCGTTTCCTGTATAGACTAGACTAATTGAGTACGCAACTATAAACTTTTCTATACGAAAGACCTATGCTCATATATAATTCATACACCTATGTTGTAGGCCTACATATATTAGGACCTAAAAGGCATTGATATTAAGCAATGGTATTGATACCTCGCGCTTTAGGAGGCCTCAAACAAGGTTTAGGCATAATCAACGTAGGTAAAAGCCCAATGTTGACTTTCTTCTTATAATTTAATATAAAAACAAATTAATTAAATTCAAAATGGAATATAATATTCAATTTTCGAGCAAGTAAATAACAAAAATTTCCTTATTTATTTATTTTAAAAATTCTATTCGCCAGTTTAAAAAGGTTAAAAAGTTCATTATTTTCAGAAAGTTATATATTATGTTAATTCGAAAAAATTAATATATATATATATATAGGAAATTTATATAACAGGTATAACAAGCATTTGAGACAAAATTAGTGGATTTACATAATATATTAAATATACACAATTCTGTACGATATCTGCAATGAGAGACTTAACATAGAGAAGATAGAGATAAACTAATATAGATAGAGACAGACAGACAGCCCCTACAGGCTTTGCAGATATTCCCAGCAAGTGGGAACATCTACAAAGCCAGACAGAGTATAAGAACCCCAAGAATGATAAAGTGGCTAAATTAAGACTAGAAAAGACTAGAGAATGTCAACTAAAACTCTATCTACAAATATACTTTCCTTATAAATATTGCTATGTAACACAGATCGATTAAGAAATAATGAAAGAAATTTTCTCTGAATTCAGTCAAAAGTTTTCTTCGAGAAACACCTGATATTAAGCAGAATATGGGCTAAGGCTTTCACAAATTTAAATTTTTTAAAATTTATTTATGTTTAATAAAGGTACTCAATGATCACCTATATCTAGCTCTATACAAGTTGAATACGAGTATAAAGTTTTAAGAATGAATGTTTAAATATTATTGATTAAATTTGAATTCTTTACATAGATAATAATATAAATATTTATAAATTTTGAATTATTCATTCATAGGAATCGTTTTAATTATTGTTTGATGCGTACTTATCACAAAAATTTAATCGACATGGTGATATCTAGAAGCAGAAAATGTTCTATCGACAAGAAAATGCTACCGATGAAACTTCATTACCTTTTCTATTCACTTGGTAATTTTTATAATATCAAATTAATATAAAAATTCTTTAAATTAATATTTTTTCTATATTTTTTATTATGAATTTTCTAGCTGCGGCATCAGCTTTGAATTACTTCCCACTAATAGCTAAAAACATCGGAGTTAGTGCTACAGGATTGGGTATTACTTACCTGACGGTCCCATTTCTTGCAGTTTTTATGAATCCAATATTCGGATACGTTACCGATAAATTCAAGAAAATAAAATTCATTATCATCCTCCTGATTGTTTTAATTACGCCTGTTTACTTTTCAATCAATTTTATTCCTGAAATCATAAAAGAAAATCACATCATTTCTGATGTAAAATTGTACTGTGATGACAGCAATACGTCAATTTTCATTAAGTCTCCTCATTTTTTAATGAGAAGTCCGAATAACGAAAGTATTGAGTGCCAAGTAGAGTGTTTGACTTGCTACAACGATGATATTTCATGTCGAAATGTATATTATTTGATCAGCGAGCGATTGCTTAATCGTTCTGAAACCTTAGAAGTGAAGAACATGACCTTCCAGAATAATAATCTTGAATCTTCTTTCTGTTTTCTCGAATTATCTGATAATTGCACAGCTTCGTGCTTCACGGAAGACCATGAATATAATTCATTTCACTACTATCAATTTTGGTTATTTGTCGTTTTAACGTCATTGTCGTTTATTGTAACCAATGCTGTCATAGCCTTATCGGATGCCGCTTGCTTCGAATCACTGGAAGGAAGAGTTAATCAATTTGGAAAACAAAGATATTTATTATCTCTTGGATGGGGAATATCATCTATTGGTACTGGATACATTGTCGAATTAGCAAATGCCAATAACGCAGGGAAAACTAATTTTTCTATAAGTTACTACATAATGTTGCCTTTAATTATCTTCGATATAATAACGCTGGCGTTTACAGATATGCGAAAAGAAAAATCGTCAAACAATATATTAAAAGATGTCAGAAAAATATTTGTGAAGGGCCATCCTTTCTTCCTTGTATTTGCTTCATTTCTTGCAGGTGCATTTTCTGGTGTAAAATGGAATTATGGCTATTGGTATTTGGAAGATTTGGGAGGAAGTAAACTATTAATGGGAATACATAATGCAATGGTTTGCATTTGGGCCGAAGTACCTTTTATGTTTATTTCTGGTTGGATTATAAAAAGAATTGGAACGGACAATAGCGTGTGTTTGGCTTTCATCACCTTGACCATTTGGTTTTTTGCTGCTTCATTTATTAGTAATCCTTGGTTGATTTTGTTACCCGATTTAGTTCAAGGACCCTCTTACGGTCTTTTTTATGCAGCCATGACGTCGTATGGGAAACTTATAGCACCACCTGGAACGGAAGCGACTATGCAAGCTATTCTAGGAGCAACATTTTGTGGTCTAGGTAAGGAAAATTATTCGAATTCTGATTGCTGTAGAGTTTTGATTATCAGTCTTTCGCTTATCTGATCGAACAACACGAGACAATTATTTATTATTCACGGACAATTATTCACACACTTGTGCTGAGCGAACACGTGTACTATTTTGCCCATTTCCAATATTGCCTTCTCGAGCTCAACGTTTTTTATGTATATTTATGCCCAAATAATACTTTCCTTGGATAAAGAAAAGTGTTATATGCATAGTAATCTTAAAAAGTCTTCAAACATGACACTTGTTGGTCACATAATCACAAGCACAGATTAGATATTTAGTATAACAAGATCACAAAAAGCTGCTTTTCAAACATAAATAGGTACTGTACAAGAAATAGCGGATGGAAATTTTGTCAATTTGCTACTATTGATATAAATAGAAAAGCGAGAAAGGGGACGGTGATGATGTAAAAAAAGACGATCCCGAATTGATTTAATAAACTCTGCATAACTAGATTAAGAATAAAGATGATGATTATACGAGGTATTGGAATGAGAGTAAACAATGTGAAAAAAACGATTGACAACAAAATGGGCATAGCAAAGAAATGAATTTCTTTGCTATGCCCATCTTCAGGGATTTAAAGGATTTGAAGCTTCATGCAGTTACACTGTCGAGAAAAGAAAATAGAACAATTATTGATGACATCTTATTATAATTCTGACGAGACGTGGCCTCAATAAGAGAAATATAAATTGTCATGCAATTGTCATTTATTAAATTTTTGCAAACGTTACTTTTGTATTTTGCCTTGATATATACTAAACGATGTATTTACTTAAATTAAAATTTGATGTTCAGTTTATTTCATTCGAATTGACACTTGTACATAATAACTATCACGTTGGTTATACTGTAAAATTATTATTTTTAAGTCACACTTATGTTGGATTTTCATTAAATTTGCAAGACTTTTCGTCTGTTCTCGTTTCTGAAATTTGTCATACATTTGCTCCGGATAATCAAATCTCTACTGTATTTAAATATACAGATATATCTTAACTTTTAAACTCAATAGTAATTACATACGAAATTGTTAACTGAATCATTATAATAAGAAACAGGAAGAAATCGGTGTTCCTTAAAATGTCTGCCGACATTTTATCTTGATACATAATAATCTTATGTTGATTTTATTCTAAAGATTGTTGATAAGTCTCTTTAGAAAAAGGATAGCAGAATCTACGAATTGGAAATCGAATCCGGGTTCTTCCTGTATTTGAAATAAGAAACAAATTTGAGGAATATCAGAGGAATATAGGGCATAAATCTCATTGCACAATGTCACTCCTTATGGTTCGAAGTTAATAATATATAAGATTCTACTTCTTACAAAATAATAATGTAAAAATTCAAGATATTAAGCTGTAATTTCATCACGTGAGCTTTTAGGTAGTGATTTAATTAATATATGTGAACCCTGCTCTTCTGTCCATGCCTAAGTATGCTGTGGTTCCTATTGGGTTATTTAGCAAACTTCAATTACTACGTTGCAATGCGTTACAAATAATTTTACAATGCATTTCGAGGAATGTTATAATATATAAAGTATAATCTAATTTAATTTAGAAACTTGTTTTATTGTTCTATTTTTTTAGGTATAGGTGCAGGATGTCTGTTGGGAGGTATTGGTTTCGACAATTATGGTAATCAGTTGACTTTTCGTTTTGTGGGATGTTTCTCTATAGGATCAGCCATAATATACAAATGCATCACGACATTTATAGCGGGAGAAAGATCTGTAATAAAAGGTATAATTTTTTTATCACGTTTCTGAGCTTAATATGTGGAACATAATAACGATTCAAAATAGGTATCTGCCGTGAGGTAAAGAAATTTCAGAAATTTATTTTACTCAGATTTATTCACGAAAAGCATGCCAAAAAGCTAATTATCTTTCGCAAGTTTTCCTTTGATTATTAAAATGTGAAAAATTATTTCGTAATTAATATGAAGAAAATAAACGACAATAAAGGTTTTAATTGTGATTTATTATATTAAAATAATTCTGAGCTGAGTAAATACATATAATCATAATTTACTTGTTACAATATAGATTAAGATAAGAAAACTAAAGTATTAAATTTATAAGCGGTAAATTTTACATAGAATTAGAGAATTTAAAAGTATTATTTCATAAAATTTGGGTATATAAATAAGATATTTCATTACAATATGAAGCCAGAAGCAATATATAATTTAATATGTATACAGATTTCATCAACATTGATTCTAGTCGATACAATTAGGAACCTCCATTTTGACTTGTTTTTCTTAAGATTTTCTCTAATGAAATTTCAATTACTAAAATTTCATATAGTTAAAGAGAAATTTAAATGCGTTATTTTAAATGTTTATTAAGTAAAATCTTCAATAAGAAAAAAATACGCAGCTAAGCGAATGTAAAATTTCGAATTCTTAGAGAAAAGGATAGCTTGATCTAAATTCATTAATTTGTTTGTTTACTTAATAAGCTTCAAACAGAGTGTACAAAATTGTGCCCACCATACACTCATACATACTTCACATAAACCCCATACACACATTAACACACTAACATCCATACATACAGAAAAAACCCTTCAAATTTCTTACATTTCTATACGTTTCGATGTGTCCTAAGTCCAAAAATGTAAAGATCTTGTGAGGTCACTTTTTCACCGATCGCCATACCTTTCCTGTGTTATATATAACAACCGGAAAAGTAATAATTTATGTGTTAAGACAACAAAACTGGTTTTATTTGCGATCTGCCAAAAAAAAGTTTTTTCCGGGAAAATTTTGTATTTGAAATTGGCCCCTATTTAGGTATTACACGAAGAAAACCCTGAAAACACCACGTGGTCACTTCTATCTTTTTATAAGAAATAACTGGCTTTGTATTGCTTAGAGTCAGGAGATCCCGATTAACTATATACAAATTTTATTATTTCGATTTTATTCTGTTGCCTGATTCGTTAATAAATTAGAAAAAAATATATTTAAAAAATTCTTCTGATATGTGATTTTTAATATAAACGATTTGCTGTATAATAACATTTTTATGTTTTGTATTTTTAAAGATAAGAAGAGAGAAAACGAGGAAAAAGTTGAACAGGAGAAATGTTATCCATGTGGCTGAATAAGGAATTCGTTTCCGTTTACTTGACTTATTTAAATATGAAAATATGTATTCGAAAATTATACCGAAGTTTATTTTTAAAATTTATATTATCTGTAAAAATGTATTATAATTTATTAAATATTGTTTACAGTTTAACTTCTTTAAGTCGAACTGTGTTAAATCGAAGCTGTCTATATGTCCAAGGCACAGTAAAATAGAAGAAATCGTTGACACTTTTAACTCAAACCCATCTTTATGTTTACCTTTTACCTTTTGATAAGTTCGAGACCTTTCTTTTCTCTTATATTCCATGTAAATACAGACGAATAAGATGAACACTACGGCTCTATGTCTGAGACAATCTTTTATATATACGATATGTTAACAGCGTTCTGATGGGGACACATGGGAGCATCTTGTCAACGCACTCTATTTCTATGCAATTCTATTGTTATTCTGTGAACAGATTCTCTTTGAAAAAATCTGGTATTTAACTGAAAGTCTAGATTTTTTTTTATTCTATACACCTCGATTTTACGACGTTTTACTGTATGTAATTCTACATTAAGTATTTACTTTAAAAAATGTGTAAATGTGACATATGATTAGTTACTAGCCTTTAAATTTCATAAATGACACACAGACTTTTATTTATTTATTTATTTATTTAGAGACATTGTAGTTCATTTTAAAGCATTCGATTTTTTTTTCTGGAAGTAAATAATTATTTTTCGTTATTCGGTATGAAGTTTTATATTAATTAATCAGCCATGACCTCTAATGCGAAATTCATAGTATCACCTGGAACGGAAGCAACCATGCAACATACTATTCTGGTAGTAGCATTTTATGGTATACATAAGGAAAAGTTCACAGCTTCATAAGATGAAAATACGTCTGTTTGCTTTTTAAGATAAAAATGCACAAGAAATGGTGGAAGAAAATTTTGACAATTTGCTACTATTGATACAAATAGAGAGATAAGAAAGCGAAGTGTTGATGTAGAGAGAAACAATACCATAACGAATTGACTGTCTAAACAGTTGTTTATATGGTTGATGATGAAGAAATTGCCCTGAATCTCAAATGTAGTAGAAATGAGTCTAGTCAGAGAAGTTAAATTTCAATTGCATGGCCATCTTGAGGGTCTTGAGGCTCTGAAAGGCCATAGCAAACACACAGTTACACTAAAATAGATTCAAGATGTATTGCATTTTTGTGTTCAACGTAAAAACTAAAATTTGATTGATGTGTATAGTTTATTTCATTGAAATTGATATTTCTATTAAACTTGCCAGTGCTTTTGTCCCTTTATCACGTCTCTCGATTATTTTATATACAGATCCCGTTTCTGTCGGAAAATCAATTGTTTATACTATATAAATACAGTAGACTGTTGCTAATTCGGCCCTTAAAAATCTTTAATCTGAATTATCCGGTATACATCATTAAAATATTTTTGTCTTATTCATGATTATTATTATTTTTTAAAAGTATAGAGTAAACGTGTAATATTAACTTTAATAAAGAATTAAGCTTGCAATTACTGATATTCCTGTGCATAATTTCTCAATAGCAAAATACATCATTAAAAATAACCAGTAAGGAAGGACGAAAGGGCATGTCGTTCATTTCACTTAGTACTTTGCATTTAGTAATCTAGCACTCTCACTAATCCGGCACGCCTCTGTGCAACGAATGGCCGGATTAGCAAGAAATACTAAACAGTACTAAAAGGTCTCTTAAAACAGGAATCTGCTGATTGAAAATCGAACCAGGATCCTCATATTGGAAGTCCGAAGTTATTATGTGCTTCTCTCCATACAGTTATTAGTATTGATGACTTTTTCACAAGACATTGAAATTCTTGTGTAAGAAGGAATGGGCATGCTTCTTGCACATGGCTGAACTTGCTGTGGCTTTAAGCTATAATACATATAATATTCTTTCCTGCATTAAATAATAATGTAGAAATGTGCGATTATAATTTGTAATCTCATTACGCGATCCTGAAGTTGTAATTATTGAAATTTATGTAAATCCGGCTCTTCCCCTGTCCATGTCTTTGTATGCCACTCATTACCATTGAGTTATTTTGTACATTTTAATTACTTAACCGCAATACATAGACAATGTTTTCATAATACATTATAAGGAATATTGAGATATATAATGTATACTATTCATATACCCTTACATTTCTTATTTTTGTCAGTCCATTCTTCTCTTTCATAGAGTTCCACTCCTTTCACTAACTGTAGAGTTGTTGTTTGTTGGAAGAGGCATTGACAAACAAAAATCTAAATAAATTAAAGTTATTAAACAATCGACACTTTAATTCCATTCCTCATAAATTTCGTGAAATATGATGCTTAAATACATCTGTTTTAATGGGAAAATTAAATAATGTCGATTATCAAGCTGCCTTTTGTAAAACGAATCTATTGTAATTGTAGTAGAAAGGTTTGTGTATTAGAAGCATTGATGCTGTTAAATTTCGGAGGTTAAAGGTCGAGATGGAGATAGAAGGACTCGTGTCATATTCGGTCCTATTGAAGATTTTACTTGTTATTAGCACTTATCAACACTATCAAAATTAAATTCTATGTCATTTTATAATAATCAATAATTTAAAAATGTTTTTAAAAATAAAATCTTATAACAGATGGCGGTACACAAATTTTAACTCTTTTGCCTGGAAAGTTACTCAACTCTCAGGTTTTACTTTATATAATTATAGAGTGATGTTGAAGTGTTTATTTTAGGAATATATAAATGAAACCATTGAATAAATTAACAAAAATAAAAATTTTAAGGCTGTATAATAATTTTTGCATCAGAGCCCTTGACACCCTTATTCAGTTATTGATTATATTCACAATATTTCGGCAATTTCGCCCTTGAATAATGTTTATGAGATGATATTTATCTATAAACAATATTCTTTAAATGCCTTCTTATAAAAATGAATTGTAATTGCAGTAAATATTATGCATTAAATCGAGGTTTTACTTCTTAAATATATCGTTTTCCTATACGCGACATTCTCCACCAATATTTAACACACAAATGATACGGTAATCGACATATCACGTGCTAGAAAATTTACAAAAAATACCATGAAATTGATGCGATAAATATAAAACAAAAGAAAATATAAATGAAAGACAATTATAATAAAGAAATTATAAAAAATATATATACCGTTAGTAAGATACGATGGAGAGTAAACTTTTACCACACTTCGTGAATTGTATAGGATAAGTTATCTTGCACTGTGACCTGAAAATAGAGTAAAAACGATCATCCTTTCCTTTCAGTTTCCGATCATCTACATCACAATGAGCTGAAAAGCTCATTGTGATGTAGATGATTGGAAACTGAGAGGTAGGAATTGACCTATTCGTTACTCCTTTTTACCAGCAGATTCGCGGGTCAATCGCAGTATTTTTCAACTCTCCATCACAACCAGAATTCCGCCTCAGCCCCAATTAAAGTATCAAAGACGTAACACATCCAAGTTCAAAGCTCCTTACCATGTAACGACACACTCCCCATTATAGGTTTCATCTACCTTCACTAATTCATTAAATTAATGGTCAAGCTTTTGAATTACCATTGTTTCTGAAACATTTCATAAAACCTTATGCATATTCAATGTATTTTTATAATCTCCTAAAAAGTTTGAAAGAATAACATACTTTATACAAGATATTTTAAATTAAACACCATCTTATTAACCCCTTTCATTATCTTTCTGTCTGGGAGTGTTACTTACATTATTATATATTAAAATTGTATCAAAATATTCGAGTTTCATAAGCGAATATATATATATATATATATATAGCAAATCAAAATCAATTTATACCTGATTTTTCGTCTTTTTTCCTAAAATTTTACACCTAAAAACTTTCGTTTAGGAGCCAAAAGTTCGTTTATTTATCTTAAATATTCTCCATTAAAAAACATTGATCTAATTAACATTTTAAACGTTAATAACTGTGAATAACAATCGATACTAAATTAAACTTTAAACCTCATATGTTATATAAACTTCTAGATAAGGTTTCCACGTACAATCTTTCGAAAATGGCCATTGGCATGAGAAATTAGCCACGTATTTTAAGTCCATACACTTATAATAAAGCGTAGGTGAAGAGCTATAAGGTAAGAAATGATGCTTTTTTATCTTTTCTTAAATACAGTATTATAAATTTATTAACACGTAAGTAGTATAAATTATATTTTAAATCGAAATAATAATTATTTATATTATATTTTAAGATAAACATTTAAACGACTGTTTAAAAGTTAACAGATATCAAGTAGATATCTCTCTTCGTTTCTGGCATCGTCATTAAACAACATTCGGAAATACCAAGAGTATTTTAGTAGGTTTCTTATAAAATCTTTTTCATTTATTATATATGTATTTTGGAGGTTTAAAGAGATTTAATTTTAAAATATTTACAATTTCTTTATATAAAATTATAAATATAAGTTATAATTATAATTGTGCAAAGTCGTTTCCTGTATAGACTAGACTAATTGAGTACGCAACTATAAACTTTTCTATACGAAAGACCTATGCTCATATATAATTCATACACCTATGTTGTAGGCCTACATATATTAGGACCTAAAAGGCATTGATATTAAGCAATGGTATTGATACCTCGCGCTTTAGGAGGCCTCAAACAAGGTTTAGGCATAATCAACGTAGGTAAAAGCCCAATGTTGACTTTCTTCTTATAATTTAATATAAAAACAAATTAATTAAATTCAAAATGGAATATAATATTCAATTTTCGAGCAAGTAAATAACAAAAATTTCCTTATTTATTTATTTTAAAAATTCTATTCGCCAGTTTAAAAAGGTTAAAAAGTTCATTATTTTCAGAAAGTTATATATTATGTTAATTCGAAAAAATTAATATATATATATATATAGGAAATTTATATAACAGGTATAACAAGCATTTGAGACAAAATTAGTGGATTTACATAATATATTAAATATACACAATTCTGTACGATATCTGCAATGAGAGACTTAACATAGAGAAGATAGAGATAAACTAATAT